GATTACTAATACTATAGGAGCTAAGCGCTTCATATGTTCTTTGTATTATTGTACAGCGCACTGAGCACTTCTTTGAAAAAAATGTGCTATATATAAATGCAATTTATTATTATTATTATTATTAATATTATAATATTCGTGTTTTTGCACACGTCAAGCAACTTCCAGACCATTTCTAAGCTGAAACCAAAAACACATTAAATAGAAAAGCACTACCAAGAAAGAAGGAAGAATGTGCAACAAGCAAATTAAATTACATGTATACGTAGAAGGACAAGTCTCACAACTACAATTTTTATCAAGAAAATGCTGCCCCAACACTTTATAGATCCCCTTTGTCCTGTAGAAGATATGTTTTTATACTTGAAAAGACTATTCATTCAATACAAAATCTAACTGATATCTGGTCCCAAGCCCAGTAAAACGGTAAGGATACTTAAACTTAAAATTAAAATGTTGGATGGTTCATGTACTGGTTTGGTAATCGGCAAGTTAATTGTATCGATATCGTCAAAAATTGCGCAGCTTTGATAGTTTTTTCTCGAAAGAGCGCGGCTCTGATGTTCTCCCCACAAGTGCACTCGCAGAGACACACAGAACGAGAGAGAGAGAGAGAGAGAGAGAGAGAAAGAGAGAGAGAGAGAGAGAGAGAGAGAGAATAGAGAAAGACAGAAAGAGAGACGGACATACACAGACTTCGACAAACACGATAGATCTATCACATGACAAACGCACACAATGCCATACTATACACACACGATAAACAACAGAAAACCACTTGAAGATAAGAGTACAAGAGAATCATGCGACAAAGACGTGATGGCTAACAAACAAAAAATGTATAAGACCAAGGTACAGAGCGATAAGGTTTTCTATCAAGTTTATTCAACTTTTTTTCGTGGTTGTTGTTTGTTGACACTGATTACTCAGTTTTCAGACCAAAACTTTATTTTTTTGTCTTATTTCCCATGGGATATCAACAGCCCCAATCTCATCCCATTAGAGTTAGATCTACACTATAAATTATAAAACAAGAAGAACAGGGTAGAAAAACAATATTCGAATTATTTCAACAGTCAGATAAACAACAAAGTCTGATTTTTATTTTTAAAATTTGGTCTGAGGGTGTGAATTTATTAAAAAAAGGTCTAAAGAGTAAAAAGTGTTTGAATAAGTTGCCCTAATATTACTCATTTTAAACTAGTACAAAGGATACACAAAAAAAAGAAGCAGCATTTACCCCCCCCCCCCCCCCCCCCCTAAACTGGCATAACACAATCTAGACTTAAGATTGTTTTTAAGAGGTAGGCTGTTCCGGCCCTGCCTGATAGGGCCAACCTAAGCCCAAGGTGTGTGGGACATTACATCTCAGCAGAAAACAACTTCCTCACTTGAGAATTGAACTCCTATGTGAGCAAGGTGAGGTGACTTTTTAAAAAGAAAAAAAAAGTAAGTTTTTTAAATGCCTCTATCGACACAATGCTGAGAGGGATACACCAGTCCAATCACAGCAAAAAGACCGAGATACTCGACCATAAAAGTGAAGTGACTAATCACTTCACTAGAAACCTCACTAAGCTTGAAATTGAACCATCACCATTTTTTGGTGCTCTTTACTTTAAGTTAAGCCTGTGACTACTGAGAGTAGTGAGAGATCATTGAGGGAAAAAAAAGTCTGGGAGATGGATAAACCCGTGGTGGAAAATGGGTCTCCTTTGCTTAAATTTTAAAAAACCCAAAACATTTCAGCTCAAAAAGAAAAGGAAAACAAGTGGACTGTATAAACATTTTATAGTTTTAGCTGTGTGCACTCTCGACTCTCTCCCATTCCTTCTATCTAATGTCAGCTAAGTTCCCATAACCAACAAGGTTGCTGATCTTATCAATTTTAATAGTATAGAAACTAAAAGTAAAAGTGCACACTTTTGAAGAATCCTCTAAAATCATAGGAGCTTTCTGCACAAGCAATATGTATTATACCGGAGCTCAGTACTGGCAAAGGCTTTCACTATTAGATCTGTTCTAAAATAGTTCTGTTTGGTCCACGTTATAACAATTCATCAATTTTTTCGATCGCAATAAAAATTGACATTTGATGGTTACCAAGTTCTGGAGCATAAAATAACCCCATAGAAGTGATGGAGATACAGTTCTTGCAAATCAGTTACCTGGTAGTACAAAAATACAGGACGTGAATGATCTTTAGGAAAAATGAATTGAAAGTCTGACAGCAATATGTTCATCACATGATGTATAAAAATGTATGATACAATGTAGAAAAAAACATGACTTTTATCAAAAGAGGCAGAGCTTAACAGGACAGTGAGCCAATACATAAGTTACAAGTGCATTTTTTTTTTCAGAAGTCAAAGCAGCTAAAATTTAAAAAATGCATCTCTATAGAGATATAATTTACTTAAAGTTACAGAATTTTACCCCCCCCACTGTAAGAAATGTGAAAGCCCAAGTCCAGTTAGACAGAAGACAAAGCACACAAGCTAAAACAACATGATGCGATGCTGTTTCTCAGCATCACTCACTTCCCGGCATGCTGAGAATCTCTTGAACAAATAGGCGAGATTGCGTCTTTGTATGCCACATAGGAAGGTACATTACCATCATCAGTTCAAATCGAGATTTCAAAACAAACAAGTTGACAACTAGGTAAATGTTCTCTATACAATATTATACACAAATAAATTTTTACATCTGAACAGTGACACATCATTACAGCCACTGTCCTTACAGCTGCTCTCCATCACAGCTATGGCATTAAGATATAAACTCATCAAATTCTTGGAAATGCAGAAATGGGTGTGTAAAAAAAAAGTTGGTACCCTCACTTGTCTAACACCAGTCTGACCCATGGGTTCTCTCAGTTGTGAGACTGTTAGATCGAGCACAGTCAGACAAGTGCCAACAAGTTACAGTACGCCCAAACAAAGTCCTTCATCGCAGTTACAGCAATACACTCTTTGTGTAGGTCAAAGTGAAATGGCACAACAGAGCTTCACATTGATCATATTTGGAGTCGTAAGACTACGTCATTTGAATACATTTAAAATGCACCTTGTTATAAAAAAAGTAAGCCTCTTTAGGCTGTACCTGCCATTTTTGCGACAAGTTGTGCTTTCATTTCTTTAGCTAGTTTTTCTAATTCAATAATTTTATTGCGGAGACGATCATTTTCTGTGATCAACTGCTCTGCTTCGAGATCCATGTCAGCAAACTTTTGCTTGCGCTGCTCCCTGGATCTCTTAGAGGCTACGTTGTTCTTCATGCGTCGCACTGCCTGTTTATCGACCGGCGTGTCTGAATCTACAAAATCGTCAAATACTGTGCTGGCTGTGCTAACCTCTGAGGCATCAGAAGCTGAGGAAGAAATCCTCTTGCGCTTCGTTGTGCCATTTCTTTTGTTGCTGTAACTTTTCTCCTCCACTGTCTCGCATGAAGAAGACATCTGTTGACTCTTGACGATGTAGTCGTGGTCCACCTGAGGATCAGCTGCTGTTATCGGCATCGTGGCCTGCCCGACAGTTCCGGGGATTTTGAACAAGGTGGTCTCCACGGCTGCCACCGACGTCTGTGCTTTGCGCTTGCGGGATGTCTTGGTAGCAGGCGACTTGCCAGCTGTCTGTGCTGGCTTAACCGGAGTCGCCTGTTTGCTCACAGCAGCCGTCTCCTCCACAGAGAAGGCAATCACCGGCTTCACCTCCGCAGGCTCATTTGCCGTCAGGCTTCCATTGTCAAGGAATGAATTCTGCAGGTAAAAAAAAAAAGAGAGAGAAATGAGAAACTGACCAGCTGAAACAAAACTTTTTTTTTTCAAATGTAGGTCTTTTTAAGCCCCATCGATACAATTTAGATAATTTTGGAGTCAGGCTTCTGACCCGGAGCTAAGCCGGGCTGAGAGGGATACGACATACCAACTAAAAGACCATGATATTCGATGAAACTTCCTCTCCACAAAGAAGTTGAACTTGGGATTCCTGTAAGTGACAGCGAAGCGCCTACAACACAGACATCGGCACAAAACATTTTTCATGTTTACAGCCCATATCCACCCGCTATAGCATGTGCTTTGTGAAATACAACTAAAATTACTCCATAAGACTCTTATAATAAAACTCAGAAACATTCTTGGCCTCCGGGGAAGCATACAGTTCATGCAGCTGATTAATTAAGTGCTAAAAAATTTAACTGACATGGTCATTCTCTACGGTGAAGTAAAGAATATTAACCATAAGTGCCCTTATTGGGGACACAACATTGGGATCCTGACTATCATCATTAGAATTAGAGGTAGGACTTTTCAATTTGACATTCGTCTCTGACAAGACAGAGACAAATAGGTTGAAAAAACTCTTAGCAGAGAGAAATACTAAGCTCTACTGAGAGTCAGCAGGTCCCACTCTGCAACATACAGCCTCTCTATAACGACATCGTTGAGACCAGAAAAAAATGTCGTTATAGAAAGGCAACAAAAAATATTACCAAAGATATTTTTTAAGGAAAAAAATCGGGACTTGGGAAACATGTCGCTATACACAGGATGTCGTTATATCGAAGTTCCTTATAGTAGGGCTGCACTGTATTTTATTGCTTGCCGACCAGCCTAGTTGAGACTTAAAAAATTGGTAATGAAACGGCCAAAAATTAGTCATTTGCCTTAAAAATTAGTAACAGTATAATTTATCCTACAGAAAGAATCCTGAATTCAAAGTGTGATACTCAATTTTTAAAAAAACTGCAGCCGAATATAGAAACAAGACGTGCTGAGGAAATTTGTGCCCGATAAAAACCACAGGTGGTAAAAAGAAGACATGATATAAACAATAATAATCAGTCTATTGGAAACCCGTGTTTAGTGAATACTTAGGATCGTGAATTCGGTGCGAACTAGCTGTAGAATTTATTCATAAAATTGACTCGATTTTCATAATTTTCATAGTACATTCTTATTTTCGTAATATTACGAAAAATTTGCAAATATAGAGGCAGGTCTGTGAATGCTACAAAGAGGGTCATCAGGCAGCATCACTAAATAGAAGGAAAAAAAGCCGGCCAAATCAGAGGACCCATCGAAAATCTATAGTTACTGGAAGACAATAATTCGAAATGGCTCATGGTCATAGGCTTTAAAAATGGATCTTGACCAGGAGTGCTTTGTAAGTTAGTAAGTAGTTAAACAGGTGTCTAGTGTCTTACAGTTTCCAGAGATGCAACTGACAATTTGTACTATGATCATTGACAAACGCACAATGATCAATCACAATGCACAGTAAGAGCAGACATGCCAACCACTCCATGACTAAAACTAAAAATAGAAGGAGTTTTCCTCAGATTCCTCTCTAAAAACTGGAGTTTGAGGGGAAAAAAACTTTGGAGTCTTCAAAATCCCAGCAGATGAACCACGGCAAATAAACATATATTGTGTATACTGGTAAATTGTAAATCGTCAAAAATAAAAGTGTTTATTTTCAGATCATTAGGCCTGCGAAGTCATGCAAGAATTGCACATAAAAAAACTCTCATTTGATTTTCGAATTTACGAAAACTGCCTACAACCAATGAACATCGAATCTAAACTAAGACCAAAAAAAACAAGTATTTTATGCTTATATCCGATCTGGGTTCTTGTGTGCAGGACAAAAAAATCAGACTGCTCCGATTTAATTGGCACACTCGGCAGACAATAAGCTTAATATACGCCATATATCTCATTATCTAGTAGCTACTGAAGCTGGACAATTTTTTTTTAAAGGAACAGTAGTCGGGAATAGCAGAAAAAAAAAGTATTGAACTTGGTCCACACCTCCATGAAAAACGAATCCAAATTGACAAATGCGTCCAAGCTGTCATCGGCCAGAGGGTCGCCCAGCCCACCTAGAGGGTCCATCACGTCATCATAGCTCCAGTCCATCAGCCCGGGGGCTGTGGGGATGTCAGCTTTCAGCGTTGCATCAGAGTCAACGACAGTTGCCGACAGTCCTGAGGTGCCCTCTGAGAGGTGAGAGAGGTCACCGGAGCCGACGCCCCCAAAGGTGAAGAGCGACTGGTCAATGTCAGCTGGGACACAAAGGTCCAAGCTGGCGACGTCAAGAGCGTCGCCAGCAAAACCTATTGATGACGAAAAGTGAAGGAGATAGCTTTAGTTTTACAGCTGAGAACAAGGGGAAAAAAAAGGACGATAATTTGAACTTTCGCAGATTCAAATAAAAAATGTAGCCTCCTAAAATAATTAACAATTTTGATGTGTCCACCTCTCATTCATTAGGTATTTGGTCTGTGGTTCAAAACCTGACAGCAACAACAAAAATTGCTTCTCGATAGTTTTTTCATTATAATACCTCCTTTCCTGTTTACTTGTGATGTTCTACCATCCGCTTTTATTTTTTTTATCTTTATTTTCCGGACCCCCCCCATCTTGACTCCTCTCTAATTTACTTTATTCCTGAATTATACTGTAGTGACATGTAATGCAAAGATGATGACCTGCTGATAAAATTCTACAGTTAGCCTATGGAGTGAATCTTCATTGTTTTCTAGGGGTTTTTTTAAAGACAATTTTCGTCTGACAAAAAACAACTCAAAAATAGGAAAAATTGCTCTATCAGTATTACTGATGGAATTATTTTCAGCACGTCATCATCCTTGCTTAAAATGACATGAAGCTACAGCGAGCACCAAGCACACCTCTGTGATTAGCCCAAATATAGATCACGTATTTCCGCCAACTATTTTTGTTGTCTTCCCGGGTTTTCCCTCAAGACTCTTGGGTTTCCCTCCCCATACTGTTGACTAGATCTAAAACTCGCCGTGTTTGTTTTTTTATTTATTAATTTTGGCGAGGACAGCCGTGAAAGAGGACAAAAAATAGATGGCGGAAATACGTCATTTATATTTGGGCCAATCACAGAGGTGTACTCGGTGCTCGCTGTAACTGTATATGTCTTGTGCCTTCACAAGACTAATATAATTAATTATTAAAAAGGAAGAGGCTAGCCGTACTTAATGACGGCTAGACTGGCAGTCTAGCCGTACTTATTCTTAATATGATGGCTAGACTGACCATTTACAAAAAATAGGCCTACTGAATAGTAAATATACATTTTTAGTGTGCAGTACCTAAAGTATTTGTATTTGAGACGAAACCAGGTGCCTTAATGACAGTGCATGTATTTTAAACCTCCTGTTTTCTAATGTTAATAGGGCCTAAGATAAGTACGGCTAGACTGGCAGTCTACCCGTACTGTCAGGCTAGCCGTACTTAATATTGATGGCTGAATTGTAAATTAAATTTTTAGTTTGCAATGCCTAAAGTATTTGTATTTCAGACAAAACCAAAAGGTGCCTTACTGACTTGCATGTATTTGAACCTGAATAATTACTAGATCTAGATCTAATGAGATCGTGTACTTAACAGGCTTGAGTCGATAGGGCCAAACCTAGATCTAAGTATGGCTAGACTGGCAGTCGTACGGCTAGCCACTTCAAATTAAAAATCAATCTTATAAGACAAGTTAGAAGATCACTTCCACTTCCCCTTGAATCAAGTACACACAAAAACTGAAGTCAGGAGGCAAATAACGTCCAAGTGCTATACCATCATTTCATTGACAAAATAATACTGGTTGTAATAGTATAGATCTAGCTACCTTTTGTTTTTCCAGAGTATAGCCGTTTCAGCAAATTATCAGCACTCTCCAGAGTGAGAGTGGTAAAGTAAGTAGCTTTGTTTTGTCTTGGCATCAAGTCTGTATACTCTAAGAATTTCAGACAGGAATGTAGTGTTATTGAAGAACAGGAGAAAACTTTGGAAAATCTGTATTCAATAATATAATAATAAAACATGAATCTATTCACTTCCAAATTATGTCTCATCAAAGTAAGTGAAATAACTGTGTCCAAATATGTTGAAGTTCAAATCAGTTCTGAAAATATCTAAACCATTTCCTTGGTGAAATGTTCTCATGTTGCCCGTAGGGTGGGTGGCAAAGAAATAGGACTGGCACTGGGTCAACCAAGCATTGAAATATTCTTTGCTAAAATGCTATGTGGTTGACCATTTCAGATGGTGGTGAAATCTCTTGTCTACTAAGCCTATGTTTAGGGATGGCATCATATTGCTATATTTAGAGTGAAGATCTAAAAATATCCCATTACTCTGTCATTGGTGTAACCATGCCACGTGACCATTGTATACGGCAACCTCAGCGCGCGCACGGCGACGCCCACTTTTGTACACCTTTGAAGTTGAAGGCCAGAAAGCCAGAAAGAGGGGCTGACCTACTTTTGTTTACTTTTCTAATGCTTGATGGCAGTCGTTAAAAAAGGCTTGAATAAGAAGACTTACCTGTGTCAAATAGGCCACAGGTCTTCCGAGGCAAACGTGGGGAAATGCTGGATATCATGGGACCCTGCTGTTCCAGAAGTCTCCTTGATATCCAGCAAATCGACAAGATCGTCCAATGACCTGGGGATTTCCCCAGTCAGTCCGTCGTAGAACCCCATATCCTGCCCGTCCATTGCCAACAACACCGACTCGTCACCTTCTGCCGACTCAATCCTAGCAGCCGTGGCTATAGACAGTGTGTTATTGTAGCTTTGAAACACTTCGTTGTCTCGTCCCTCAATCGTGAATAGGTCCAGTAACTCTATGTCTTCTTCCAGTACTTGTGTTTGGGACTCGGGTTTAGCCACGGCGCTTGCCGGCTTGTCTCTACGGTCGTTTCCTGTGTCGTGGACCAACGGAGACAGAAACGAACGACACTGAATTAGTAAAATGCCAACACAGTCAAAACAAAACGAGTATATACAATTGTAATTATTAGTCTTAGCTCCAAATTTGTAACAACAACAAAATAAAGACAAGTTAAAGTGAATAGACTAAATCATAGTAAATGTAATTGTTTACAAATTGCGGATAACTTACCTTCTGTTCTCTGTTGTTCCCCTCAGTCTTGTTCCTGTTCTGACCGATCACGCTCAATCCGCAAGAATATGGTGCAATCAGCATCTATATTTAGAAACTGAGCAAAATTTTATCCAATGGAAACGCTAGGTTTAGTCCTTGAGAATGTCAGTACACAGCGAAGCACTGGAAACACTCTCCTTGTTGTAACTGGCGTTCACGGTTTATATTTTTGGAAATAAACTGACCTATAATTAGTATTAAACCATACCAATTTGACATTAAAAAGTTTTGGTTTTCAATTATTGTAAATATTTAACCTTTCATCCTCTGCTGTGCCTTGTGAATCGAAATTTTAGGTAATCTACCGTATGGAAGTACAATTGAAAGAACAGCTATTAAGTTTTCTAGCATTTGATGTAACGGGACTGATGATTGGTCACCTGTGGTTGTTTGCGAGCTTGTTGCAGAAGACTACGACTTTTAATGATAGAGTTCATCCTGTATTTTTAAGTCTGCATTTGTTGAATTTAAGCAAGAATAAGTCACTGCAGCTGGCAAATCTGTAAATACAACTGAACTTTTACGTTTGAGGACATTTTTTCTCTTTGACCTAGATATCGTAATGCCAATCAACGGTAGTGATGCAACGATACTTAGCAAACAACATCCGGGGTTTTTTGTAAAGGAATACGGCCATATTGTCGGAAGACGATTGATTGTTATGATATGCAGGGCACTGTACCTGGAAGGCCTCTCTTGAATCATTGACTTTCATGTTGTGTTCAATGTGCATTTAAACGCACTTCGATATGCATTCTGTGACATTTCTGAATTACCCTTGATTTATATGTGCTGGACTTCAACATAAGGAAATCCGGCATAGATCTCTGTAGTAAGTCATTCCGTCCCCATCATAAACTCACTGATCACTGTCACTGTCACTAGAAATCTAGATTTCTAGATTGTAGATTCTCGATTCTCTAGAGATAGCCTAGATATCTAGATCTAGATCTAGATTAGGTCTGACTTCTAGTTCTAGATCTAGCGGTCATTATAAATACTTGATCTAATCTCTAGAAGATCTCTAGAATCTAGATTAGATTAGATCGAGTCTGGATCTGGAATCTAAATCTAGACAACTACTCTTGTCTAGATAATGATTTAAGGGAAGGACTTCCGTAACGAGCGACCACCCCATCAAACACAATAAAGAAGAGGCCTAGATCTAGACCTAACCCTACCCCAAACCCTAACCCTACCCCAAACCCTAACCCTAACCCTAACCCTACCCTTACCCTTACCCCTACCCCTACCCCAAATCCCAAGCCCTCACTCAACTTTGCTCTGTGACAGAAGAGTGTGTCTCCATAGTGGTCGCTCGTCACGGAAGTCCTCCCGATTTAAGATACTATTCAAGATTCTAGATTTCTACTTGGTTAGCACTAGATCTAGAAATCTACTACCCAAACAGGTAGCCTACAGTCAAATAATAGATGAAAGTGGCTATTCTCACCGTCTCACCCGCCCGGAAGTTCTCGCAAGATCAACTCCTCCCCTCTTCTCTCTCTCTCTGTCTCTTTCTGAATACTGTCTATCGGTGTGGACAATCAAATTGACCAAAACAAAGTTAAAAATTGATGTTAAGACACAAAAGTAAATTAATTTGGTTGTCTACAAAGATGCTACGGCTATTTAACTTTTCGAATCGAGCCGAACTACGTGGGTCGCCATTTTGTTTTGCCCGGAAATTCTCACACTACTCCTCTCTCTCTTTCTCTCTCCTCTCTCTCCACTGCCCACAGACAAAATTGTACGCTTTTAGTAGGCTACAGTTGTAATGGAACGTTTGTTCACGGCACAGAATTCTACAATTTTTCTGTTATCACAGTGTAGAATTCTGTGGTTTAGGGTGAACGCAAAATTTGGTGAACGCGCACCGGGTGAGAATAGCCACAAGACTCGCCTGCACTATTCTCACTCCAGGTGAGAATAGAGGTGGCCATAATAGATTGTCACGGCCACGTCTATTCTCACCCTGGGTGAGAATAGCGCAGGCGAGTCTTTTGGCTATTCACACCCGGTGGGCGTTCACCGTTATAGCCTAGGCCAACCAGTGAAGCGTTCACCCTGCACCACAGAATTCTACACTGTGATAACAGAATTATAGAATGGCCGACACTATTTCTCCGAACGATCAGGAACATAAAGCTAGGCACTATTTCTCCTAACGTTCGGGAAAATAAAGCTGGGCACTATTTCTCCGAACACTCTGAAATCACATCCTTTCTCTCAAATTTCGGATATTATATAGAGTATAGGCCTACCAAAGATTGTTCGTATACAATATGGTTCAATCGGTCCAAAAAATGTCCGCAGTAAATATTTATATAAAGAAATGCTACAGTTCCAAACAGTTTTTCACTACAGATATGACGTGTTGCCTATAAAGGGTGCTGCTCTTCAACTTAATGTGTTGTGTTTACTCGTGTGCTGTCTAGATCTAGATCTACGGAGGGTTATTGATAACGACACATAGAACTAACTTCTGCGTTTGTCACGGCCGCGACCAATTAATCGTGGCTCCATTTTTTGGCATTTTTTGGTCGGGGAATAAAAGTCAAATTAAAAGAAAAAAGAAAGAAACCGAACCTCTTTGTCTTTACTTTTGAAAGAAAGTTCACTGAGCTTCACATAGGCTCTTTCTCACTTGTCACCACGTTGATACAGTTACTTTTATTTTTCCCTCTTTGACTCTTTGTGGTGTTTTATTTTGTTAATTATGTTAGAGTGTGTAATTTTTTTTTCTTGTTACTGTTCTGATGTGTTGTTTTTCTGTCAATTTTTTTTTGTTGGGGAAGGGGGGGGGGGTGTTGCATAGTGTAACGTCATTTAATTTGATGTTCCTACATGTTGCATAGTGTAACGTCATTTAATTTGATGTTCCTACCTTCCTTAGATTCTAAATATACATACATGTATATATATATAAATTTAAATGTTTTATGTTAGAGCGTACGTTCCACCGATTATTACATGTACTGACACTGGCAGGCCCCTTAATGTGCGTGATTCCATAATTTACATGTAATATCCTGTACTTTAAAAAAAATGTACGCACATTTAGGGTTAAAACAGGCAATTTTCTTCAGACAAGTTGACACCCACCCTTATTTGTTAATTTTTGTTGTTGTTTATGGCTGGGCTGTTCGACTAATTTTGATTTAATTCTGTTGTGAAACCTTTCTTTTTCACGTTTTTACACTCATCTAAAAATCTCTAGACTAGCTCTTGAAAATTGAAATACATATAGACCCCAAAATTTGCTCCTGTGTGTATGTGTGTCTATGCATGTGCGTGTGAGTGTGTTTGCCTGTGGTAGTAGTAAGTATGTAAGTGGAGAGTGAGGAGTGTGTGTGTGTTTTTCGGGCTTTATTTCAGCCTTTATTCAGTAACAGCAACAGTTCAACATACAAAAATAGAAACACAGGATCCATTAACTCCAGTGCTCATGAGTCGTTCCTCTCTTTCAGTTTCACTCATTCATTCAATTCTCGTGTTCTCTCCCGCGACTCATCCCCGTCCTTATGACTTTCACACCCCACCCCTTCCCCCCAGGCACACACAAAGAAAATCTCACTCATTCCCTTGCACCCTGCGAAGTGCGAACCATATAGGCAAAACACTGCCTTAGCCACATTTCTTTCGTTCGTGAGCTGTGAACCAGGCCAGGGGGGTCGGTGTCATCGTCTTGTAGTTGCTGTCGCCTGTGGATACACTCGTAAATTCTTCCTTTCACCCGCTCTGTCACTCACACTGTCTCTCCATCCACAACTCAGCTCGTCATACGTTCAAAAGTTGCCCACTGATCATGTTTAGTTAGTGTGTGTATAAGTTTGTGTGTGTACATGTGCATGATGATGGTGGGTGTGTGGTGGGTGCTACTGAAGGTTGTATGTAGGCAGGCTTGCCATGCGGTGTTCCTTCCCAGACCAGAAGCAGAATGAATGTTGGCGCCGAACTCTCGCAATAAATAGGCAAAAAATCACGGAAGCCGGAAACCGTTGGAGAAATAAAGATCGGCACTATTTCTCCGAACGTTCGGAGAAATAGTCACTTCGTTATAGAATTCTGTGCTGTGAACAAACGTTCTAGATCTATTATGTTAGTGTTAGCCTAAAAGCATGCAATTTTGTCGTGTGCAGTGGAGAGAGAGAGAGGAGAAGCGCAAGAACTTCCGGGCAAAACAAAATGGCGACCTGCGTAGTTCGGCTCGATTCGGAAAGTTAAATAGCCGTAGCATCTTTGTAAACAAACAAATTAATTTAGTTTTCTTGTTTAAAATCATTTTTTCACTTTGTTTTGGTCAATTTGATCGTCCACACCGATAGACAATATTCAAAAAGAGACAGAGAGAGAGGGGAGGAGTAGATCTTGCGAGAACTTTCGGGCAAAACAAAATGGCGACCCGCGTAGTTCGGCTCGATTCGAAAAGTGAAATAGCCATAGCATCTTTGAAGACGATCAAATTAGCTTACTTTTGTGCTATAGACGTAATTTTTTCTTGGCTTTTATCAATTTGATCATCCACACCGATAGACAGTATTCCAAAATGAGGAAAAACAGGTCTTGTTTCACACCGGGTGAGAATAGCCTACGCTGGCAAGTCTCACCCGGGGTGAGAGGTAGACCGTATTTTTCTATTCTCACACCGGGTGAGAATAGCCACTTCCTTATAATATGTAGATCTTGATTTAGAATCTAGTTAGAAGATCTAGATCTAGATCTCTAGATCTAGATTAGAACTAGGTCTAGATTCTAGATCTAGATCTAGATTATTCATGAATCTTTGACTTTGTTTTGCCGAAGTGTATACAGACCCGGTAACCGGGAACAAAGTTACGAAGTATACAGACCCGGGCATGCCCAGACCCGGTTGGGGAACTCTATTGTGATTTCGGAAAGTTTCAGCATCTATACCCGATGGCTGTAGTTATTCGCACAGGGTGTGTGAATACTATGAAATATTATTCGCACAGGGTGTGCGAATACTATGAAATTTTATTCGCACAGGGTGTGCGAATACAGGTATATAATTCGCACGGGGTGTGTGAATACTATGAAGTTATAGATCTATTCGCACAGGGTGTTTCAAAAGAAGGATGGAAATCGGCCAACCATTTCCTCATTTTTTCCCCTCATCGCGCATGGACAAAGATAATAGGTTCATAGGGGTTGGATTGAACTTTGGTGGACCCACTGTGTTTATATGTATTAATGCGCACTAGGCAAAGAACAGACTTATACTTATACAGTCATGGGTCCTAATCGACCGCTACGCGAACTAGTTTCCGGCGATGCGAGGCGGAGTGAGTGAGACTCGTTCCCGGCGACGCGAGGCGGAGTGAGTGAGACTCGTTCCCGGCGACGCGAGGCGGAGTGAGTGAGACTCATTCCCGGCGACGCGAGGCGGAGTGAGTGAGACTCGTTCCCGGCGACGCGAGGCGGAGTGAGTGAGGGCTGCGAGAATACCACGAGACTAGAGAGAGAGAGAAGGGGTGACGAGACAAAGTTGTAAACGGACCTGTTATAATCCGAATCATTGAAGAGACCGAAGTCCGGAATATCTGGGCATCGGATGAGAACATTTACCGCAAGAACAGGCGCAGGGTTCTCTCTATTATATCAGTATTACTTGATCCCATCCGCTGTTTCTTTTTAGGGTGAGGCAGTGGAGGGAGACCAGAAGTGGAGGATTGACCAGTAGGTTCCTGATTTTATTGATTAGATTTACATGTCGCAGGCTTATTTTTGCTCCTTTTCTTTTGAGGGGGAGGCAGCGGAGGGAGACCAGAAGTGGAGGATGGACCAGCAGGTTCCTGGTTTTCTGAATTA